TGTTAAAATCATAGTAATTACTCATCATTTGTCTACTAAGCTTACTTCATTAATTGACAAATAATATCATTCTAAATTAGACACCCATATGCCACTAGTCACCCTAATAATATATCTTAATGTATTCCATGTCCCTTGATTATGTATAATCAATTATAGTATAAATATTTGTACTAGTGATGAAAAGAGAAGGGAGCAAGAAAGATAATAAGATTATTATCTCTAAAACACTCTACCTCACGTTACTATATTTAAGTTTACACAAAATTATAGTTTCCTTTTTTATTATTATTTACAACAATACGAGTATTTCTTATAGAATTTTTTTTTTTAATATTTACGATTTTAGTTAAGATATCTTACAATTTTTTTAAACGGAGGGGGAGTATATAAAAAATGTGGAATCGAAGACTTTTAAATAACTTGCGTTGACCGACATATTGGGGATTTGTGTCTCCACCTAATACGACATCGTATTAACTCCAAAAACGACGCCGTCGCGGAGGAGAGAGAGGGGAGACGTCGTGCTTATCCATAAAAAGGGAAAAATATCTACAAAAGTGCCACGTCAGCAGAAATAGAGAGAGAGAAAAAGATCACCGGCAAAAGCACCAGTGGTGATTCTATGGCGGTGGTTCGCTAATCTTCTTCCTCAAAACTCCTCTCTGTTTCTGGATCTCCATGAAAATGGCGTCGCTTACTCTCCGATGCGGCTTGGCGCATCTTCTTCCTTGGCGGTAATCAAAATTGTATTTCTTCGAAATTGCGATCCATCCATCGAATTCGGATTGATATTCCTTAGTGGTTTTTGCTTTAGTTTCCGATTTATATAGAAACGTTATCTCTATGTACTTGGGTGTGTGTGCTCATGTTTCTGCAATCGAAATGTATTAGGTTTAGACCCTTTTTGTTTAATTGACAGGAAGAAGATGAAGAACATGTGTTTGATTTATGTTGATTTTTCAGTGATGTTGAGAGAACAAAGCCATTTAGAAGGACCCCTAGGATCGTATCAAATAGGTTCAATGTTAGAGTTGGAGTGATATCTGAGAAAGGGGATGTCTTCTCTTCCTCTAAGAGTAATGGATCAATGGGGATCGAGTTGCAGCCGGATTTGGTTTCGTTTGGAACATTAGAAGCAGAAATGATTCCCACAACAATGGTTGAAGATGAAGAGTTTGATCTTGATCGGCCAACCGATGGATTTGCCTCTATTCCACAAGCTATTGAGGATATTAGACAGGGCAAGGTTTGTAATTGTAGCAATATTGTTTTCGCTTTCCTGTATTAGAAGGAGAGGATATTAAGTGGAAGCTTTGTGTGTTTTCTAGTTGGTAATTGTTGTAGATGATGAGGACAGAGAAAACGAAGGAGATTTGATAATGGCGGCATCGTTGGTACACCCGGAAGCTATGGCTTTTGTGGTAAAACATGGGACAGGAATCGTGTGTGTGAGCATGAAAGGCCAAGACTTGGGAAGGTTAGAGCTTCCTTTAATGGTGATACGAAAGGAGAACGAGGAAAAACTTGGCACGGCCTTCACGGTTTCAGTGGTAAGTAAAATACGTTTTTTTCCTTTTAGAATTTGAGAAACCAAAAGACTGTTATTGCTCTTGTGTTGAAAAGAGTGTTGGCAATCTTTGCCAGGACGCGAAAAAAGGAACATCGACAGGTGTCTCAGCTCGTGACAGGGCACAAACAATATTAGCCCTTGCATCAAAAGATTCAAAGCCTGAAGATTTCAATCGTCCTGGTCATATATTTCCCTTGAGATACAGAGAAGGCGGTGTTCTTAAAAGAGCAGGGCATACAGAAGCTTCTGTTGACTTGACTGTGTTAGCCGGTTTAGAACCAGTATCGGTTTTATGTGAGATTGTAGATGATGATGGTTCTATGGCTAGATTACCAAGACTCCGCCAATTCGCTCAAGAGAACAACTTGAAAATAGTTTCAATCGCTGATTTAATTAGGTACCATACTAACATTTCAAGATCAGTTACTGATTTTTAGTAGATTAAGAACACTCAACTTTCTCAGTGAATCATGTTTTTCCTCTTGATTTCGATTGCAAACTGTGTCTGGCAGATACCGAAGGAAAAGAGAGAGACTGGTGGAGTTTACTGCGGTTGCGCCCATACCGACAATGTGGGGACCATTCAAAGCATATTGCTTTAAGTCACTGCTTGATGGAGTTGAGCACATTGCAATGGTCAAGGTAAAATTATAAACCCTATTTGAAACTCATCCTTTGTTTCCTTGAAACTTTCTTATTCCCATTTTTCAATTAAAACACAGGGAGAAATCGGAGATGGGAAGGATATTCTGGTGAGAGTACACGCAGAGTGTCTCACAGATGATATATTCGGAAATAGCTCTGGTGGAAAACAATTAGCGATTGCTATGAGACAGATTGAAGAAACTGGGAGAGGCGTTTTTGTCTACTTACGTGGTCCTGAAGCTAAAGGCATTGACCTAAGCCACAAGCCTCGTACTTACAAGAACACATCAGATAAAACCGAGGCTGTTTCTTTCCCCGTTGCTTCACGAGAATACGGCATTGGAGCACAAGTAATAAACAAAAATCTAATTATTTCAC